CCATAGATTAGCAGTAATGGGCAATGTTGAGGGACCCTTAGTCTCCTGGCTAGGGTAGTAGGAGAAGGACCACTTCGGAGCCCCAGAGGCCACATGACCTCCATGCCAGCATGCTGGGCTCTTCCTGGGGCAGTGCATGATTGAAATCTTGTTCCTGGGATGGTCTTGCTTTGGTCACTGCCTATCATTGAGTGTGGAACAAAATCTTACAGGGTTCTGGAAGCCCTCTCTCTGGCTTCTCTTTTGCTGGGGGCACAACCCTATTCCTCCTTGTTCATTCTGCCTTCTGCATGGGACTGCAGCCAAAGCAGCAACCATGCCCCTAGCCTGCTCACCTTCCACTGCAGACTCGGCCACGTCAACATTGTGCAGCATCAGTCCTTGCTCACTGGACCCTGACCACAAGAAAGATAGGACCACTGCCTTTGTTGGGTCCCCAAACACAGGCCCCAAGCAATCTTTCCCAGAATTCTTTCTGTCCCAGCCCCCTTGCTCAGCCTGGGCCTTCTGACTAGCTCCAAGCTGCTCACAGCAGGGCAGGCGAACCTTAGCTTGACCCGGGATTCCAGGCTTGGGGCTGGCCACCGGCTGCAGAGATAAATCCAGGAAGTCTCCCCCAGGCTTGGCCCCAACCAGACCCCTGTGGTGGGCAGGCAAGGGAAAGGAGAGACCCCAGAGGCTTGTTTGCTGTCCCAGCTGGGCTGGCTGCACAGCCCCCTTCCTCTGTCCTGGCTCTGGCCCCATCAGATCTGAGAACACGGACATCCTTCCATGGGGACCGTTAGCACTCTGGCCCGGAGAGGAGGGACATGGAGGGACAGAGATTCTCTCCTGACAAGGGGATGTGGCTTCCAACTCCAGCTCTTCATTGAGGATTCCTGGGACAGTGTGGGCTCCAGGGTGTGATCCCCGCCCTCCTCAGCCTACCTGAGGCTTGCTCACTTGAACCCACAGTCTCCATCACTGGATGTTTTGATTCCTGGGTGGGGAGGCATTTAGCTTTTTCCTTTGAGAGTGATGGAACCCTCCTCCCCAGAAGGGGACAGGATAACCCTAACCTGGATATAGAGAGCCTCATTTGTGCTTCCCTACACCTTCAGGGTCCCTTCCACATCTATCAAGAGCCCCTGTGTCCCTCATGATGGATTGGAGAACTCTGTGGTGTCACAGCATCTATGATATGCACCTCACTAGCACAAATGCCCACGGTATCTGTCCAGACATGGTTCATTATCCTTTGTCTGCCTGCGATTCACTGTCTAGTTACAGTGGCTTCCTAGGTGTGGGCTTGCAGGAACTATCCCCCAAGCTCTTGGAATCTGGAGGTTATGTCTTCCTCTTAGGGCGAGAGGCCCTAAAGACCAGGAGATAGGGGAAACTCTGTACCAGCAGGCTGCCAAGAAGGTTGGGGTTCCTTTTTCTAGCAGCTTGCCATCAGTGGTGGATTTATAGCCATGCTGGGGGCTGCTGCTGCCTGAGGGGATGTCATTTCCCGAGAGACACAGTCCAGCCCTCTATTAGAGCCTTAACTTTAGGGGCCCTGTCCCAAAGGGCCCTGGTATAGCACCCTGTAGTCCCCAGACCTTTAACAAATGTGACTTCTGAGGGTAGGACTGGTGAAAGACCAGGGACTCTGAGATAGCTGGAAGGTCAATGAGAGGCCAGACTAGGGAAGCCTGGAAGGGATGGGCCCAGGACTTGAGGGGTACGACCAGCTAGGATGAGAGTCCCATGTAAGACAGAACAAAAGGAGATAGGGGTGATGATCCACACCTCCTCTGAAGAGACCCTGGGAAGCTGAATGCACGTGGAAACCCCTGATGTCTCCAGGGCCCCTAGAGGACCTGAGGAGAAGCAAGAGTACCATGTTTGAGGCCAGTGAGCATGGGCTGGGGGCACTTCCCACCCGTACCCCCCCAGGAACCCCACCTCAGTCGCCAAATGGATGTCATGATGACCACTGACCTCACGGGGGCGCAAGAGACAACAAAATTTTAGCCAGTTTGGAGGTGAAGCCCAACTGTGGTCAGAGCCTCCAGAGCTGAGCCTGCCTAACAGGGTTCCCCCAACCCCTGCCAAAGACCCCACTCCTGGGTAGCTTCCTGATAGGCATCCTACCTCCGATGTTCTCTGGCCTCTAACTTCCTTCAGCCCACTCCCCTTCTCCCTTCCTTCCCCTGGTCTTCCTCAGGTCTCTCTCCCACCCACCTCCTCTCCCCTGTCTTTCCCCTTCCTGCTTCTCAGGGGCCAGGCAGTGGAAGAGGATGCTGTTCTGCCTACCCTAGGCTTACACAGTGACCACCCCGCCACCTCAGTCCCCCAGACAGGCAGGCCCAGCCTCTCTGTGCAGTTGCAGAGCCGCAGGGCTGGCATTGGGCTCCGCGAGGGAAGGATGATGGCTGGAGCTCTAATGACCTTAGGTAAGGGACTGCAAAGGGAAGCAGCGGCCCTGGGACAGACTGGGAGGGGGCGTGGCCTGAGAGAGGATGGGAGGAGAAAGAGCTGGGCCAAGGCTCTGGATAGGGGCTCTGGACAGAGAGCTGGGTGGTAAGATACCTGATAGCAGACGGAGGGGCTTGGGGGGTGGGGACAGGAAGGCTGGCGGGATTCCAAGGAGGGATGTTTCTGGGGAGGGGGGGGGGAAGGGAGGCCCAGCTTTAGTCCGGAGCAGAAGTGGGGTTGCCACTCCTAGGTTAACAGGGTACTGGCTTTGTTTGGGGGTCTTGAGAGAGGTTGAGGGAAGTTGTCCAGGGTCAGCTAGGGAGCTACTCTTTTGGTGTGGGCTGGTGGATGAAAGGAACAGAGAGCGGAGAGGCAGAGAAGATTTCTGAGTGAAAGCACCGGAGGTAGGAGCAGTTTGGGAAGGTGGAAGTCACTCCTGGGCCTCATTCCTCCCAGGAGAGTTCCAAAGCATACTCCCTAGCCTGTCCTTTCCAGGGCCGCTCACCACCATTGCAGGATGTGTCCCTGGCCTTTGTATATCCTTCCACGTGCCCGCCCCCCCCCCCCCAGCTGACGCCGCCTCTTCCTCCCAGCACTGACTGCACTCTAGGCTGAGGTGACAGTCCCAAGTGGCCTCCCAGGTGGCTGTGAGCACACTTGGTTGGAGGACCACTGGCTTCTTCTTTCTTCCAGAGTAGATTCTGGGTGGAGGGTAGAGTGGGGAAATCACTAGAGGTGAGGAATCCAGGGTGAACAGTGGACTCAGCTGCCCATGTCCTAACATGGCTGAGTGGAGAGGTCCACAGAAAGCTCCTCAAATTTGGGGTTCCTGGGGCAGGGCTCCTTTTTCCAGATATATAGAGCCACAGAAGTTTGTACGGTTAGATCAGGAGCAGGGAGGCCAGTTGGAGGAAGTTGAGAGGCCAGGAAGGTTCAGCTTGTCTAGGAAAGCCCACACTTGCCCTTTGTGCTAGCATTCCTCAGTAGGGTAATTGTATCGGGGTGGGCGGGGGGGGGGGGGGGGGGGAAACTGAGGCTGTAGGACCCTAGTGGCCACTGCTGGGCCAAGTGCTACACTCAGCTCTCTTATATGTCCTTCCTCTCTCAAACCTCAGTTTCCCCTTGTGTTCTTAGCTCCTGGCCGGCCAAGCAGGAAGTCCTGTAATCGTAGCACAGTAGAGAACTGAGACAGCTTCTCTGGGAGACAGGGGCCTGAGGCAGGGACCAGGAGAGGGGTCATAGACGAATGGGTTCCTCTGGCTTCCGGACCTCTCACGTGACTCTTTTTGAGACTGGTAGCTCGGGTCTGGCTCCAGTACAGCCCAGGCCTTGATCTTTCCGGTCTCATCTCTTCTGCATGGAGGAGAGTTGGTGGAGCCTGGAGGTGGCCGAGAAGCCCCAGGGAACTAGGAGAAAAGGGAAGGCCCAAGACCAGGGGGCCAAGCCACACGTGGAGCATGTGGGGGACAGGAAGATCCCATGGATAGACTGGTTTACAGGCTTGGTGGGCTTTCTAGCTGGCTACAAGGCCTGTGGACAAGAAGCAGACCTTCATGTTTGAAAGAGCCCCAAATGTCTCTTTATCCAATTTGTTTTTTAGCCTCTGCTTCCTAGTGTGTAGGGGCTTCATCTTTGCCTGGGAGCCAGGGTTCTGGCTAACTCCAGCAAGGGCAATGGGAGGAGGGGCTTGTAGCCCCTCACTAGAGCTGTGTGAGGGTAGGAGCCTGTGTGCAGCCACCTGCCCATGTCTATCACTTAATCCTCCGCCCAGCCTGCTGCCTGGTTCCAGCAGGCAGCGCGGGTAGGGTGGGCGTGAACAAGTCCTCCAAGGGTCTTTTTGTCTACTTAACTCCTTGAGGCTGGGGCTGGGGCCAGGTCATGTGTTGGTGGGCTGTGTGTGTCGGGTGTAGGGAAGGTCTGTGGGTTGGGGGAGGGGCTGGTGAGGGTAGTCCTGTGCTGTTTGCTATTTGCTAACTGGGCCACTTCAGACACTTCTTAAACTTATTGAACGGACAAATCTTTGTCCTCTTGGACAGGGTTCGATTTGTAGAAACACCCGGAGGCACTTGGAGCTAGAAATGAGGAGGCACAGGTAATGGAGAGGCCTGAGAAGGGGAGGCTCCAGGTGGGGGAGGTGAGCCATGAAGATGGCTGCATCAGGGCCAGAGGAGCCAGGAGGTTTTTAAACCCACAACTCAAGGCCCTGAGGCAATTGTGAAATCAGTGAGGCATGGAGCACTAGGCCACTTGGGTACCCAAGGGATGCCACCAAGGCAGCACATTGTCCTCAGGCCTCCCTGGGGGCCCTGATGTGTGAAAGCACAAGCCTGAAGCTCCAAGCCTCTGTGTTTTCAGTCAAGGCCTCCACAGTGAGGTGCTGGCACCAGGACCTGGGGGCTTCTCAGCCTCCAGAAATCTGCTGTTTCCTTGGTGTCCCTAGACTTTTACAGCCCTCTCCCAGGGCTCTCCTGAGATACCCAACACTCCTGAGAGGTGGCATGCTTATCTTTCCAGAAACAGTGGGGGAACTGAGGCCCTCTTTTGCTTACTGTCCGCAGGAGTTGGGCATACTGGAGTCAAGTGTGGCATGCAGTGGTGATCAGCCACAGTGGGAACAGCATGAAAGAACACACAGAACACACTCAGGAGAGCAAGCAAGGTGCCTTAACTAGCGTCTGGAAGGACTGGTAAGTGTTCCCCACTGCACCACACAAGTACCTGTCCTTACAGCTAAAGACCTCGGTACACCGTGTGTCCTCAGAGCAGCCCTCACCATGGAGAGCTGGGTCCTAGCGCATGAGAACCCACCGAAATCAAGGTAATGCGGGTAGCGTCAGCCCAGAATCTGGTGGGAGAAAGTCCATCCTTCACTTCCCAATGTCCATTCAAGTCTCCTCATTCCACACATTGCCATCATACTCCAGGCCACACCTTCCAAACTACCTCATAGTCAATTCTTCAGACTCCGTGGTCCACAGTGCCATTTCCACACACCATGCTTACTCACATTCCTCACCTACGTTTTCCACCCTCCATTCTCCCCCATTCTTTCTGCACTCTCCCGTTCTCCATATCCGTTTCCATTCTCTCTTTCCCATGTTTTCCATCTCCAACTTCCGCCTCTCATTTCCCATTCTGCATGCTCCCCTCTTCACTTTTCATTCTCCATTCCCCATGTGTCATCCACTACTACTGTAATTAATGAGGCAATCCACGTAATTTATCTGGTAATCAAGAGGGGTTTATTTCTGGGGTGACTTACAGCCAGTAGGGGTTGGTTACAGATCCGGGAGAGATGAAGTACCATCCAGCGGAGAACTCTGGCTTGGTGTCGCATCCAGCTTCCAGGACCACGAGGTATCCAGAAGAGCCAAACCTCAAGTTCTAAGGGGCTCCCTCTCAGCCATGCCCCAGGGGCAGGTCATAGGCAGGTGTGGCAGTTACCTGCTGTCACTCTAGGGGCAGTGTTTCAAGGTCAAAGCTGGAACAGCTACCCACTACCATCTCCCATGTGCTGTGTTCCACACACTATTGACCAACTCCAAAGTTCATTCTACACCCACACAGCTTTTTCCATTCTCTATTATTGATATTCCTCTTCCAGTCTCCACACCCCACTCTCTTCATTCTGCTTTTCATCTTCTGCTCTTCATACACCACACGTTATAGCCAATATTTCATGTTCTACTTTTCAGCTCTGGTCTTCATTTTCCATAGTGCTCACTCTAGTAACCAGTCTCCACTATCCACACTCTACCCTCCACCCACATCCCATGCTCTAGTCTTCATCTTCTGTATGCTGTATTCCATACACCATACTCCATTCTGAATTCTTCTCTCAGTTTTCACACTCAGTACGCACTCCACTCCATCCACTGTATCAATGCCTCCTTCTCAATACTCTGCCCTCCAATCCTTTCTCCATCCTTCATGCTTTTGTATACTTCAACACATCATTGTTCATTCCCTGTACTCCCACACTGTCTTTATTCTTCATCCATATCACATTTCCACTCACATTTTCATATTTTATATCTCATTCCTTCTTTCCACCTCTCCATTTTTGTAATCTATCTCCCATCCCCATTTTCTTCGCACACAATTTCCTATACTGTATTTCACACTAATTTTTGTATGTTTTGTGTATGTGTTCTAAACTCCATATTTCCTTCCTCACTACCCATACAATTTTCTCTACATCCATTTATTTGTGTTTTTAAATTGTGTTTATTTAGTCTTATTGTGTGTATGTGCATATGTACCTGGATGTGCATGCCACAGCACACATGTGAAGGCCAGAGGGCAACTTTGTGGCATTCTCCTTACTTTATTCTCTAATCTTTCCAGGTTTCTCCTCTCCATTCACCATTCTGCATATTCTGACTTCATTTGCCCTGGCTCCTATTCTGTTCTCTACCCCCTATATGGAGTATTAAATATTCCACATCCTACTCTCAAGTCTCCACTCTGCTTTCTTTACATACCAGTCTCTGTTCTCTGCTGTCCATAGACTATTCTCAGTTCTATACTCCACACAACAGTCTACACACTCTTTTTCCATTGCCTACACCACATTCCATTCTCCATACAAATATTCTATTCTCAATACTTACAATCCATTGTCAGTTACCAATATACTTATATCTATTGTCCATACACCATTCCCCATCTATTTCATCATTATACTCAGTTTCCATAGTCCATGCTCCAATGCCATCCTCCACACCCAATGTACACCATGCCATTTTTCCACATCCACTGTATGCTATGCTGTTCTCTACCCCATTCTCCAAATACCACACTTCATAAAACACCTTTCGCACGCTCCATATCTGCTATATTTTACTGTATTCTTACATTCCTCATACTGCACAGAACTTATTTTCCATACTCCATCTTTCACACATCACATTTCACATGCCACTTTCTATTTCTGAAACTATACTTCATAAGCTGTACACACCATTCTTCAAAACTCACACTTCATTCTCCATACCCATATGCTCTAATCTGTTCTCCAGTCTCATTAATTTGTTCTCTGCTTGAAACAATTTTATATTTCCCATAACTCCACATGCCACACAGCAGACCTACTTCCACCCACCCTTCCTTCATACCTTATCTCTAGTCCCAGTGTTCTCCCCTACTTTCTCCATCTTTTCAACCCACAGGCTCTGCCCAAACTTCCTACTTGATTCTATGCACTCAGTTCTCTGTAACAATCTCCATTCAGCATGCTGTATCCTGTATTCCCACTCTCCTCAGCTCCTACATTGTTCCCACGCCCTGGACTTTGGTGTTTAGACTCTATTCTTTGTAACAGACGGCATCCCCCATGTTGCCACCTCAATTTCCCATTCTCTTCACCTAATGCACTACAGACATACACCGTATTTGCTGTACTTCTGCTATACTCCACATTTCACCTTGTCTTCCCTCCATTCTCCATTCTTTCAATCCACATTTCATACTTCATTCCATATACTCTATTCTCCATAACTCATGCTCCTTCACTATCGTGCTCTCCTTCCATGATCCATTCACCTAACCCCACATTCTGTTTCCATACTTCATCATACAAACTCCACGTCCCGTGCTTCATGCTTTTTCCACCATGTTATTTATCTCGTCTTCACTGTCCACACTCCATGCTGTTCCTGCATTTCGTACTTCATCCTACATGCTCTATTCCCTGTCACACCCCCAATTCACCATTCTTCTCACTCCACACTCTCTTCCTACACATCATTCTGCATACACCATATGAGGTATCTCATGCTGTAGTCACTGTTTTCACTTTCATTCTCAATTTTCTTCACTCTACACTCTGATCCCATCCTTCCTTCTTCATAGTCTAGTCTGCACACCTCATGCTCCCTCATCATGTCCTAGTGAACACTTCTGTTCTCCACCCACAGATTCTTGTCCTCCATACTGAATTTTACACACTCTATTCTCCAAGCCTCGTGCTCTATTCAGCATGATCTCCCCTCCATTATTTATCCACACAACTCCACATTATTCCCACACTTCATTCTACATACTCTGTACCTCATTCTTCTTTCTCCATGTTTCCCCTCCACTATCCATTCTCTCAAACTATACTTCATTCTATGCTCTGTTCTACATTCTCACACTCCATTTCATCCTGTCTGTCTTCCATTCTCCCCATATCATATTCTGCTCTTGTACATCATTCCACGTCAGGTTACAGGAAAGAGAATGGAAAACTGAAGTGAGGATATGTTGAATTCAGTGTATTATGGAGAACAGAGCATGTTAAAGGTAGTGTTGGGGTATGAGTTAAGGGCATGTAGAACACTTAGGAGAGTGTGGTGAATAGAACATGATGTATGAGAATTCAAAAATGTAGAATGACATATGGAGTGTAACAGAGTATGGAGTAAGGAGAGGGGAAAACAGAGAGGATTATGTGGTGAATGGAGCATGGGGTATGGAGACTAGAATATGCAGAATGAAGTCTGGAGTATTAGGTCAGGGGGCAGAATGAGGAGAATGGAGAACAGAAATGAGCATGAGTGTAGAGACTAGACTATGTACAATGACGCATGGAAAATCAGACTTTCTATCTCCATGTCTTATGCTCCATTCACCAAGTCCTCACCTCTCTTCTCTATTCCCTCATTCCATACTTTGTTTTCATATCCACACCTCACTTACGTACTATATTCTCCATAATTCATGTTCAATATGCAGCTATTTCCACTCCATTCTCTAGTCTCTCCATTCCATACCCTGCTCTTTTACTGCCTACTTTATTGTACATAATCTGTTCTCCACAGCTCACACTCCATCACCTACTTCTCCCCATCATTTCCCCCTTTCCTTCCTGTTCCCATGCTCCATTCTATTCTGTACACTCCAGTCTCCCTACCTCACAGTCCGTTCCCTCCATTCCCTCCTCATCCCCTCTGCATTTCACACTCCACACACACACTCCGTTCCCCGTGTTCTCCAGCCTGCCTCCAGCCTCTTCCCCCTGTACTCCTCACTTCACACTCTTCATTCTCCATACCTCACACCCCTCCTTTCACAAGCTCACCTTCCATTCTCCTAACTCGACACCCCCCCATACTGTGTACTTCACTATACATATCCTCTTCTCTGTAACTTGTCTTCCATTGATCATGCAGTTTCCTCCCTTCTCTTCCAACTCTGCCCTCTGTTCTCATCCTAAAGACTTTATTCTCCATTCACCATACTCTCCCTTCTATTCCCCATACTCCTGACCATAATCTGTTGTCATACTTCATTCTTACATGGTCTGTCCTGTATGCCTTATGGTCCACTGACAATGTTTCCCCCCTACTCCCCGTTTTCCCTATGTCATACTCTTTTCCTTATACCCCACACTTCAACTTACATAGTATTCTCCATATCCCATGCTACGTTCACAATGTTATCCTCCTTGATTTCCATTTTCCTAACTCCACACTCTGTTTCCATGCCTCAACCTGCATACTCTGTTCTGCATACCTCATGTTCGATTCACCATTTTCTGCCTGGCTTTTGCCATGTCCACACTCTAGTTTCCACACTCTCATGCTATAGCCATGTTCTACCTCCTGCTCCCCATTCTCCATGCTTCAATTCCATACTTCACTCTCCATACCCCACTCTCCATAATATCATTCTTCTAGCGTGTTCTCTCTTTGTTCTCCATTCT